CACTGAAAGACTAGTCTGAGCCAAATCCCTTCATTTGGCGTTTTGGGATCTGGAAGGTAGAAGTTCTAAATGTGAAATGAGACACAAGTTTTTATTTTTATTTTTTTAAGTAACTTAGGAGAGCAGTAAATTAATTATGACTTGTTTCTTGAGTCTGTTTTCTGTTTTTTTTAAAGACTTTATTTATTTATTTATTATGTATACAACATTCTGCTTTCATGTATATCTGCACACCAGAAGAGGCCACCAGATCTCGTAATGGATGGTTGTGAGCCACCATGTGGTTGCTGGGATTTGAACTTAGGACCAGTGGAAGAGCAGTCAGTGCTCTTAACCTCTGAGCCATCTGTCCAACCCCCCGATTTTCTGTGTTTTAAAAACAAAAAGTCAGCCGGGTTTGGTGATGCATACCTTTTAGTCCCGAAAGTCAGGAGGGAGATAGAGGCAGGCAGATCTCTATGAGTTGGAGACCAGCCTGAGCTGTCTCAAAACAGTAACAAGAATGAAAGCAAAGCCAGAAGGAGGTCAGTATCAGTGATCTTCAGTGATCTGGAAGTCCTGCAGGTGAGTCGCTGAGAAATGGATCTTGTGAAAAAAAGTCCCTCCATGACCAGGAGAATTCCTTAGGCTGGCTTTTGAATAAGAGGCAGGTAAACCTCGCCCTCCTCTGTGAGATCCCAGCACTCCACCTTCATTGACAGTGCTTAGACTCTAATATAGTTGAAAGTTCTCCCATAGAAATGCATGTTCTCACTGCTTAAAATGTGTCCTGTTTATGTTTACGGCGGTTGGCTTCTCGCATGGAGTGTGAGCACGTTAGAATGGTAAACACAGGAGTGTGAGCACGTTAGAACCCTACACTTAACAGTCTTCTTGGCTGCCCCAGTCCTTTCTTTTCTCCCGGCTTTGGTACTGGCTCTTCTCTTGATTACCTGTATGTCCTGCTGGGTGGTGCTGGAGCCAGTGCTCCGTGTTTACTATTCTAATGTGCTCACACTCCATGCTTAACTACCTGTGGGGTTAGAGTGTAGGAAGGAATGATATGAAGGTGACCACAGGTGGCCCCTGGCCATGCTGTAAGTAATAGCGGCCACCTGTCACCCATCTGACCCTGCAGTCGGCCCCTCCCCCACGCCACCACACATGTCACCTGTTTAGCTTAAGCCTTCTTCACCACTTACCTACATGTCTTTAAGACCTTTGAATTCAGATCTGTATCACACACGCACCCGCACACACTATTCCTTGGGCATCCACCCTCTGTCCACCCCTTTTAGTTAAAGACTTGGTTCCCAGGGCAACCTACCTCCCCTAGAGGCAGACCGTGGCCTGTGCTTTTACTGCCCAGTGTCTCCTGAGCTTCCCTGGCTCAGACTTTCCCTTCATCTTAAAATTGTGGCAAAGGGTGTGCAGCGTGCTCACCATGTGACCCACACGTCACAGGTGCTGTCCTGCAGCACTCAGTGCATTCCCAGCTCTCCAGCCCACCCACACTGTCTTCCCCAGACTCTCAGCACTCAGATGCTTTGCCCCACAGTAGAGTCTGGGAAGTGTTCACTCTGCTCTTTGTCTGGAGTCTGATGACTGGAGGGGGCTCATATTAGCGGGGTCTCCTGGATTTGTGCCCCATCTGGCTCATTTCACTTAGCAGGAAAGGCTCACCAGAACTTCACTCCTTCCTGAGGTTAGGGATGTTGCATTGCATGTTCTGGGCACTCCCCTGGACAGCTGAGGAGAAAAGTGTTCTGGCATGCTACCCCTCACCACATGCTGGCATTGTGCCTAGTGTCCATGAGGGCAGGGCCTGTCTGTTACTCATCAGGAGACTCATGGTGCATTTGCTGGAGGGAAGAGCCTTGTAGCTTTGCCCTGTCCTTCCCCATCCCTTCAGAGTTCATGGAGACTGCGTGGTGTCACCTCTCGGGATACTAGGGATGCCCAGGCACTGTCAGTCTCATGGCTTCTTTCTTCTTTGTCTGCCTTGGGATCCTTCTTGAAATTGAGATCAGTTGATCCGCTGACCTGCTGTAGGGCTGGCAAGGGTGGAGGCCGACTATACAAAACAATTGCTGTGGAAACTGAGATGGGCCAGGCGGTGGTGGCGCACGCCTTTAATCCCAGCACTAGGGAGGCAGAGGCAGGCAGATCTCTGTGAGTTCGAGGCCAGCCTGGTCTACAAGAGCAAATTCTGGGACAGCCTCCAAAGCCACAGAGAAACCCTGTCTAGAAAAAACAACCAAAAAGGACACTCTGAGATGCTTGACTACTTTCTATATAGTCCGTGGGCTTCCTGTGCTCTCAGAGCACAGAAAGATGTGAGCACCTGCTCTGGTCTGTGAGGTGTCCCAGCCTAGCTTCAGGAGTTTAAAGTGAGCCCAGGTCTTTGTGCAGGAGCTGGAGTAGGCAAGCTTCACTTACCTCCCCAGAGATAAGCTCTGCTGCCCTGTTCAGTCGCTGGAGACCGGCTCAGATCAACAGGGCCACCAGAGCTTGTACCTTTGTCCTTGATGCTGGCAAGGTACTTTGCTGGCAGCCTTGTCAGAGCTGCATACTAGGAAGCTTTAACCTGTCTGAGGAAAGTCTATTTTGAACTACAAGTGAAGCCAGAGTTTTTAGGTTAGACATCTTACCCACAAGACCCACAACAGCCGTCCTCACACGTGTCCCAGGAAGTTTTGAAAGTGGCACTGGCCAGCCTGATGCCAGCACACTGTCATTACAGTGCCACAGACTTCTAGGTTAAAATGCCAGATTGGAGTGGTTGAGAAAGCAAAAGAAAACCCTTGGCTAAATTTAGAAATCAAGGTTTCAAAGTTTTGTTCAGAAACACTACCTAAAAATAAAATCAGTATTTACAGGCAGGTCTTTTTGTTTTGTTTAAACAGAGAATAAAACAGTGACAGAAGAACCAAAGAATACAAGCTAAGGCCTTTTCAGGTCTTTTATGCAGTACACAGATTATCTACCCAGAATCTGCACGGAAAGCTACACACAGCTCCACTGGCCACTTTTCCTGTAGGAGTCCTGCTGTGATGAGCTGACAGCCACTATGTCTGCATTAGGTCAGCCCTTGAGGTCTGGAAGAATGTTGAGAAGCAGTGTAGAAGGTTCTTACACTGGACATGTGTGGTGAGCGGAAGGCACACACCCCTGCCACTGCCAATAGTATAGGGGGTCTGCTTCGTGGCCATGGGTGTAGTGCTTGGCATGATTCAGAAGCGTATCCTTCTTAGTTTTGTATTTGCCAGGAACAGACATAAAACCAAGCATAGCCAGGAGCTCTCTAACCAGAGGTGGGGCTGCTGCCTGTTTGACCTGTTCTTGCAGGGCACTAACAGAGTACCTTCCAGACACTAAGGGCTAGCCTGGGAGAGCGAGCCATGCCCCCAGGTTGGTCAAGCCCAATGGTCACCCAGGTTTAGTCTCCATTAGGTCCTGTAAGTGGCTTTGCTGTGTCCCCACATGATGGCCAGTGGGTCTTTCCAGTGTACAGTGGCTGGACAGGTGTGTTCTGAGAGGAACAATGGCTGCAGCTGCCTGCATTTGGCCCTGTTGAGACTGAGCTTAGTGGCACCCTGCCAGGGTCCTGTACTTTATGTTTGAACTCAGCAGTGGTAGCAGAGTCATTTTGAGTTTTGGCCTCTTTATGACATGTTGGGGCACATGTTGCTCTGTTTCCAGCCAAGAAAGAAGCCTCCTGGGCCACTGAAGTTTCCCTCTTCCCTGTGTCTTCTCTCCAGCCCCTTTGTAGCAGACGATGTCACTGCCTTAGCAGTGTTGAAAACAGTGAACTCTCCAAAAAAACAGCCATGTGTAACCATGTCACCCACTAGTGACCTCTGTGACACTGAGAAATTCTTGTATTGTGTTTTCCACTTTTCTAAGTTTTACACATATATATTTTGAATGGCTGTAAACTTTCACAACCTATGACAGTCCCTTTGACATTAAGGTAGTTTACAGTATTTGAGAATCATAAATAAACTGTCATAGTCTCAAAGAATAAGCTTCTTGCCGGGCGTTGGTGACTTACTCTAATAATCCCAGCACTTGGGAGGCAGAAACAGGCGGATCTCTGAGTTTGAGGCCAACCTGCTCTACAGAATGAGTCCCAGGACAGCCAGGACTGTTACACAGAGAAAGCCTGTCTTGAAAAAGTGGAAAAAAATAAAAATAAACTTCTTAGGAACATGCTTATTAAAAACTACTCGTAACAGAGATAGAAGGCAGCACTGAAGGAGGGGCGCTCCGTGCTCTTGGCTTGGAAGACTAGGGTGGTTAAGGGACCAGTGCCGTCCTAGTGACCTACAGACATAGGCAATGCCTAACAAAATAGGTATACCATTTTATCCAGAAATAGAAAAATTTGTCTTGAAACCTGTTGGGAAGACCAAGAGATTCCAAATCATGGGGGGGGGGGGGAAAGGAAAGGGCTGGAGGACTTATGCATCTTGATTTTAAAACAACGAAATGACATTATGGTTTTCTGTAATGATAACCAAGGCCAGTAGACTAGAATGGAAAGCCAGGAGTAAATCCAGTTCAAAGGGAAGAGTACTGGAAACTGGAAGTCCACAGGCAAAGACTGAAGTTGGATCCTTAGCTCACACACATACAGAGATTAACTCAACATGGGTCAAAATCCTAAATGCTGTGAACCAAAAGTGTGAAAACTCTTTGAAGGAATTGGGAGTGGGAAGTTCATGATATTAGATTTAGCAATGAATTTTTTGGACACAATGTATGGGTAATAAAAGAAAAAGTAGATAAATTGGACTGTGTCAAAATTGAAGACCTCAGTGGCACACAACCAGCAGAATGGACAACCTATAGAATAGAGGACAATGTCTGCAAACCACTTACCTGATAACAGATTAACGTGTAGAGCATATGAAGAACTCCTACACATGAGCAACAACAAAACAATTTCATTTAAATATATGAAGGTCTTAAGTTCATATTCTCAGAAGAATATACACAAATGACCCATAGGCCTATGGGTACAAGCTCAGCGTCACTAACCATTAATGATGCAAAAGAAAACTATACTGAGACCACACACAAAAAACAGTCTTGCTGACAGTGTAGAGAACTGGGCCCTCATGGGTTGTGTATTGTACACCAAATGGTACAAGCCCTGTAAAAACAGTATGTCGACATGTTGTGAACTTTCGAGTGGTCTTGCTGCAATTCCACATCAGGGTACACATCCAAAAGAATCTAGAACTCTGAGCTGTATGCTTGAAAATGGTTGTGACGGTGCTCAACAGGTAAAGGTATTGCTGCCAAGACTGATGATCTGAGCTCTATCCAGGGGAGACCCGCATGCTAGCTAGACGGAAAGATCTGGTTCCTGCAGGTGGTCCTCTGATACACACCATGACGTGTGTGGACACACACACACACACACACACATGCAGGTAAATGTAATAAATTTTTACACATTTCATGTTATGTGTCATATTTCAGCACGATTTCTTTTTGGTTTTTTGAGACAGGGTTTCTCTGTATAGCCTTGGCTCTCCTGGAACTCACAGAGATCCACTTGCCTCTGCCTCCTCAATGCTGGGATTAAAGCCCAGCTGCGATTTTTACATGTGTTCTGAATGAACTGTTTCATTCATGGATATTGTATTTCTAGAATGGATTCTTAAAGTAAAATTATTAAGAAAAGCTTCTCAGTATCTGAGTTGAATTTTATTTTCTAAGCCAGTAAGCACAGTTTATAGCTCTGTCAAAGCTCCGTCATATGCAGTTACTATCATTTCTACCATGCTGGGCGAGTGAGATGGTTCAGTGGGTAAAGGTGCCACTGCCAAGCCCAACTTCTGTCCCCTGGGATCCACATGGTGGGAATAGAGAACTGACTCCAAGCTGCCCTCTGACCTCTTCATTTGTGCCGTGACATGTGTACTTAATAGATAAAAAAATACTTTCTCATACAGTTACTGACCATTCTTTTTATATGACTAGATAATTTAGGGCTTAATGTTTTTTTTAATATATTTTATTAATCTGTGTTTATGTTTTCTTTGGGGGGAATGTGCAGAAGTTTGAGTTATTTCAGTTTTTTAAAGGATTTTATTTAATATATATATATATATATATATATATATATATATATATATCATTCTGACTCTATGCATGCCTGCACACCAGAAGAGGGCACCATATGTCATTATAGATGGTCATGAGCCACCATGTGGTTGCTGGGAAATGAACTCAGGACTTCTGGAAGAACATTCAGTGCTCTTAACCTCTGAGCCATCTCTCTAGCCCTATTTCAGCAGTACCCATCAGGTGTTTCTGTGTCCTTTTCTAGCTGTAGAGCTGATTGTCCCGTCTGAAGTTTTGTGTTTGCTTGTCTAGCTCATCCCCGATTTACTTTGGTGTGAGGAAAGATTTCGGCTGACTTTTCCTGCTTATGACTTAGCGGTCATCTCCCTTCTTCTCCAGGCCACAGGTGTGGTTTTATTCCCCATGCTCTGTGTCTGCTGGGTTAGGTCACTGCTTCTCTCCCTCTGGTCACGCTGTCATAATCTGTTGACTTTATGGTTAGTGTCCTCATTCTTGTCCTTTATTTTTTCCAGGTGAATTTTAGGATGATCTTGTCATTTGTCTTAAAAAGTAAAGAGATCCGCCTGGAAAGGAATAGGAGTCATTTAGTCAGACACTGACTAGAGTGTCTTTCCAGTTCTCTGTGCTTGCAGTTCATGACCACATCTTCTGTCTGTTAGGGTTTTGGCTTTTTCTTTTTCCTTTCTCCTGTTTATGTTTTTAGAGGTTTAGGGTTTTTGGGGGGTGTCTTTTTCTTTTTTATAGAGCTCCACTGTATAGTCTAGTCTGTTCTAAACTCCTGCCCCCTCTAAGTGCTAAGAGTATGACGTGCCCCCCTCATGCCCAGCTACAGTATGTTTTAGCAGTGATTTTCAGATCGTAGTCTTAGAGTTCTTTAAAGAACTACTTTATATGCATAAGGTTTCAAAGAGTATGGGAGAAATCACTAATAAAATTTGAAATCCTTTGATCTCAGATCATTAGGAAAAACACATCAAAAAGTGTCTTCACTCTTTGCCTTTGAATCTGCCTATGTTATATAAAGCTTCTAGGCACTTCTCCCCTGTATTTCTGTATCCAGTTCATCCATACAGCTGTAGGGCGTGCACACTCCCCATCTCACCTCCTATGAAACAGTAAATTATTGGCAGGCAGAGTACAAAAGTATTTGCTTGTGGATCCTTACTCCCCACCCCCACCCCACTGCTCCTTATGTCTGGGTCCATCTGGTACCACTCCTTGAATGAGAAGGTGATGGTGAGGGAAGTGAGCCCTGCCCTCAGCACTGCCTGACTGGGGAAGGGGGATACCCTCTCTTGAGAGACAAACTGGGATTGGGGAGGTTGTCGGGGTGGGAGTCAGTTGAGAAACTCTTTTGGGGGCAGGCAGAATCTCTTGTGTTGCCTGTATGTGCAAGTGCAGAGAACACCATTGGGTGGCTTCCACGTTCCAGGAGTGTTGGAGGTACCTCACGGCAGATTGCTTGTGTGGCTTGCCTGAAGCCCCAGTCCATCGCAGCCCTGCTAGGTCATCACCTCTGTAGAATCTCACTGCATCTTTGGCTCTGAGGGAAGGAGGGCAGCAGGGACATGAATAGGCTTATTTTTTTTCTCCTGTTGAATTACCTAACAGTTCCTGGAAGGGTAAAATCTATGTTCTCATTGGTGAGGGAGGATCCGATAACCACCCTGAATGGCTGTTTGTTCATTCTCTGCAGTGTATCAGGCTAGACCCATAGAAGTAACTGTCAGGTGTGTCTAGGAGGTAAAGGGCTTTATTTGTCTCGGATTGAGCAGATTATAAAATGGTACAGCATAATTACAGAAATGTTTCTTTTTTCTATGAGGTGAAGAACTTCTCGGTTCTGCCAGAGAGTTTCCTCCTGTTTTCATTGCTTCTCTCTGGACCTAGCAGTGTGTTCCTTTTTGTAGGGAAATCATCTTGCCAAAATCCGACAGTGCTCCACTTCTGAAGTAGTCTTTGTATATTAACTTTTTATTTTAAGATGTAAATAGTAGCATAACAGAAGTAAATGAAATAAAACCTTAATTTTGAATAAGAAAGCAAAACTTAAAGAATCTAACATTTTAATCATAACATTTTTTAAACTACAAAAGTAGAACTGGGCCCAGCGTTGGTGGCGCACGCCTTTAGTTCCAGCACTTGGGAGGCAGAGGCAGGTGGATCTCTGTGAGTTTGAGACCAGCCTGGTCTACAAGAGCTAGTTCCAGGACAGCCTCCAAAAGCCACAGAGAAACCCTGTCTCAAAAAAACAAAAAACAAAACAAAACAAAATAGAGCTGGCCAGATGGCTCAGTGGGTAAAGGCACTTGCCACCAAGTTTGAAGACCCAGGTTTGATCCCTGGGACCCAGATGGTGGAAAGAGAGAACTGTTTCCCTACATTTTGTCCTGAGCTGTGGAGATAGACAGACAGACAGACAGACAGACAGACAGACAGACAGGCAGACCGACACACACACACACAAACACACACACACACACACACACACACACACACACACACCAAAATAAATAAATAAAATAACTGGACATAGCATTTTATCTCACGCCTTCCCCCACCCCTGTTCTATGCCTTTTAAAGAGTCTTATAGCCATGTGTAGTACTTCCTGACTATTGACTACTAAGCAGCTCTTCCATAGATTTTTTTTTTAACCCTCATTTTTCTGGGGTTGGGAAGAAATCTTGTGTCCCGATTATAAACCCCTCACTTGCCCTGATGGTAGTAAGGAGGTGGCTGAGCACAAAGCTGGACACTAATGCGTTGGAGTTTTGTAATATTCTGATGATAGCCATTACTTTTTTAAACACTGGGTTGCTTCTCAGAAAGCTGAGGGTAGAACTTAGTAGCAGAGGGTTTGCTTAGGGAGCACCAGGCCCTAGGTTCAACCCCTAGTATAAAAAAACCAAACAAACTACTACTAACCGAATGACATTAGCTTGCAGGTAGGAGACACAGTACAGGTGGTGTAAGGTGCCCCTGAATTATGGAACCAGTTTGGGAAACGGTGGGATCACGGAGAACAGGCATACATATGCTTCCTTTTTCTGCTTGCTTCTTCTCGTCTGATCCGGATTGTGGCCTCCGGAGCCATCCCGAGAGCTGGGATCCTTGCCTAAAAGTTAGTGAAAAATGAAGACTGTAGAGCCCGAAAATGCCCAGGCTTTTACAGCACACACACTGACAACCAAACAGAACGCTCTTTCCGTTTGCAGGCTTTTTTTTTTTTTTTTTTTTTTCCAGTGTCATTTTAAGTTGCAGCTTCCGGCCAATCAGCGCTCTCCATGCCCACTGACATCACGAAGCAGCCAGTTCCCTCCAGCTGCAGAGAGCTTCAGTTTGTCTTTTTTTTTTTTAAACTAAAATGGAGGCTGGTTTCTTGCCTTAAGGAGTGCAGCGCCCTTCCCTTCCCGCTGGAGTCTAGATGTTGACATGTAATAAGGCGGGCAGCGGGATGGTGGTGGATGCGGCCAGCTCCAACGGGCCTTTCCAGCCCGTGGCCCTTCTCCACATTCGAGGTGAGTTATTGTGTGTTCTACTGACCGGAACCTTCCGTGTGTAGTTAATAAATGGCTATTGTGCTTTGGATAGGAAAAGCAGGAAGTCTATCCAGCAGTACCCCCTCCACGTTGATGGGACTGCCCCCGAGCAAGCCGGGGTGTCAGCACTGATCGGTGGACATTCTATACATTACTTACGGGGCCTGAGGCTCAGGAGGCCTTGCACGCAGAGTTCAAAGCTGGTTTTTCTGCTTTCTGCCTGCTCTCCCATCCCCCTTTCCAGGCTGTGCTGATGTCAAAGGATGTGAAGTCACTGCCCGGGGAAGGTCTTGGGTGGGGGAAGGAAGGAGAGGCGGGCCGGCGGGCCTGGCCAAGTTGTCCGCTCACAGAGTTTGTGTTACCTTGGTGTCCGTGTTGAATATTGCAAGGGTTTTGCTGGGGACAGGGCTCTGAATTAAGGATGGGCTGCGGCCAGAGAATGTGTAGAATTGGTTAGAAGAGAACTTCATTTTGGAGGATATGTACTCCAGCCTGAAGGGAAATATGCTTGAAATCCTGAGATCTGCTGGGCTCCTAGCTTTAAATGTTAGCTGTTAGCTTTAGTGCAGCCATAGGAAACGCTTTGCATTTACAGAGGCTTTGTTCAGATTTAAAAGGGCAACAAGTTTTCAGTGTGTATATAGGTCACAGGAATGCCCAGACTGTGGGAAACAAATCTGTAGCTTTTTCTCCACCCTCCCCCCCACCTTGAGATGCTGTAGAAATTGGCTTCAACGATGGCTAAATGTGAGGCAGCCAGGAAGAAGCAGAGGGTGATCACAGGGAACAGCAGGTGCCTTAGCTGCAGGACCCCAGCAGCTATCTGTATTTTGATTCTGAAACCATTGGCTAGTTCGCAGTAACATGACTGGCTTATGTGCAGAAGGCCAGTACTGACACATTTAAGATCCCTTATGGGTAACAGATTTTTTTAAAAAAAATTTTTTTAATTTTATGTGTATGTGTGTTTTGCCTGTATCTATGTATATGAAGTGTGCATGCCTGGTGCCCACAGAGGTCAGAAGAGGGAATTAGATTCTCTGGTTCTGGAGTTATGGATGTCTATGAACCACCATACAGGTGCAGGAACTGAACTCAGATCCTCTCCAATAGCAACAAGTGCTCTTAACCACTGAGCCATCTCCCCAACCCCAACAAATTTGGTTTGTGAGCCTTCTGGTTCTTTATTAGACACACATATTCTCATTCTTCTTTGAATTAGGAGTTTGTTCCGAAATAGAATAATTTGCTGTTTTATTTTATTTATTTATTTGTTGGGTTTTGTTTATTTATTTACTTGTTGTTGTTTTTTGAGACAGGGTTTCTCTGTAGCTTTGGAGCCTGGCCTGGAACTCACTCTGTAAATCAGGCTGGTCTCAAACTCACAGAGATCTGCCTGCCTCTACCTTTTGACTGCTGGGATTGAAGAAGTGCACCAGCACTGCATGGCTTTGGTTTTATATTTTATAAACAGATCATTAATTTGTGAGGGCCCTGTTGTTAGTTCCAAACTTTCCTGTGTCTATCATGGAGTTGTCCCCTCTTAGTTGTTTAATATCTAATTTGTTGAGGGAAGTAGTAGATGAAGTGCCTGGCCCTGAAGGGACTTGAGGACTTGAGGTTTTAAGAAGAGGCAACCTGTAGCAACCAAAACCAGGTGGTAATGAAGACAGCTGGGCTAGCTTCTAAGTTTACATCTCAAAGAGCACTTGATTTCCTCAAGAAGGCTTCTTTAAAGCAGACACCTTAACTTGTATTGTCTTAAACTTCCTATGGGGCCACTGCCATGAGCCAGGTGTTGAAGGTCATTTAAAGTCACTCACCTACATCCCCTTCCCCAGAGGAGCCCTGCTGGACAGGGACAGAGGACAGAAAGAAATTCCTCCTGGCAGGGAGCTGGGTAGGAAGGGCAGGAGAGGGCTGGCCCTTCCCCTTCAAGACAGAGGGTCTTTCACCCAAAAGGGAATGCAGCTTGTCCAAGATCACATAGCCATTAAATAGTGGGACTAAGAGACCAAATCTAGGAAGCTGTTTTGTTTGCAATCTTTAAAAACACTTTAAAAAGAAATTGTGGCTGTGTCAGAATGTCTTGCAAGGGGATTACGGTGCTCCTGGTGCCCTTATCGTCTGTTCCGTTCAGTGGCCCTTTTTTGCATGACAGTTGTACACCTAATGTTCATTCCTTATTCATTTCACACGCCCTGTGTTTGTCAGTGCCACTTGCCAGGCTGATCCTAACTTGGAACGTGCAGATGCAGTGGCCTGTCCTCACTGGGTGTGTTTGCTGCACTGGGGTGGGGACAGTCATGTAAACAAGGACCACCACCCTGTTTGCAGTCCCAGGTAGTTTGGCATGTGTTGAATTTGCCATTCCTGAAAATTCAAGTGTGAAGGGTTATAATGTAAACCTGGTACAGTCTTAACTGCCTCTGAGGGAGAGAGGATGGCTGTAAATTTAGCTTGATGACTTAAATCCTGCACTTGTAACACTGTCTAAGAGAATGGCCTGCCGTGATGGGATTACACTCTGTGACGTCCACTATACTAGCCTGTGGCCACATGTGGCCATCAGGCACTTAAAATGTACAGCTGATAAATCAAATTCTTTATTTTAGATAAGTGTCAGCCAGGAGTTGTCAAATTGGACAGCAAAGGTCTAGTCTGGAATTGGCACTTTTTCAAGTAAAGTCCAGACTGTAAATATTTTTGGCCCTGAGCAAAAGTAGCCACAGAGGTAAACGAAGGCTGTCTGTTGTCCAGCAAAGCTTTATTTACACAAGCAGATAGCAGGCTGGATTTGTTCATGGATCACAGGCTGCTGATCTGTTCTAGGCTTCTCCTGCGTGTCTCAACTGCCTGTGAAGACTAGGAGAGAGCATGGTTCCTGAAGCTTCCAGCCTTGCCTCTCCTACCCTCCATGGCTGGTCCCTGGAGCTCAGCTGACCCACCTCAGGGCCAGGTTTCAGGCAGGGACAGTTCAGCCCTAAAGATGCCAGCGACCAGAGAAGGGAGCAGCAGGACAGGCCGCCTAGAACCTTTCCTGCTGACCTCTGTTCTGGACCTCCAGAAAGCCTCGTGTCTGTCACTTTGTGCTGATTAATCTCCAGTAAACTTCCCGGATGATGGCAGGGAAGCCGGAGAGCAGGTGGTTCTTTTCCTGGTAGCCTCTTTCTCCTGGGAATTAGGGGTCTAACTATGGGAACCCTGCTCTCTCACAAGTTCTTGCTGTGTCATGAGTTGGTTGCTGTTCACTTTGCCAATAATAAAGTTAGGAAAAATTCTCAGAGGAAGCAAGTGCAGAAGTTGCCCCTCAGCCTCCATTTCCAGCACAGCAATCTGATGACGTGTTGACGGTAACAGTGCAGTATGGGTGGGCCACTGAATTCAGGACATGCTCAAGGCATGTGTTATGTGAGCACTGGCGAGAATGAGAATGGGGTCCACTGTTACCCACTTTTTTTTGGTGGTTTTCCTTGACAGGGTTTCTCTGTATAGCCTTGGCTGTCCCAGAATTCGCTTTGTAGACCAGGCTGTCCTTGAACTCACAGAAATCCACCTGCCTCTGCCTCCCCAAGTACTGGGATTAAAGATGTGTGCCACCACACCCGGCTGAGTTACCTTCATTCTCAAAACCAGGCAGGGAAACTGCCAGAATGAGACTCTTGAAAGAGTAAGGATTCCTTCTCTGAACAGTTCATTGGGCTGCTGTCCATCACCCACCCTCTGAGTGGCTCGGCTCTGGGCAGAGTACAGGAATAACCTGTGAAGTTTGCTGTGTGTCACTGGTGGTGCGGAGGGTGACTAATGACAAAAGGCCTCCTGGGGAGGGTGTTGGTGAAGGCTGCACACCTTTGCAGTACTTAGTTCTGTCCTTGGACTTGGGGAGAAGGCAGTGGTGGTTCTCATGTTATAGAAAAAGCCATTTCCTGAATTCTTTCATTGAGATGTGTTAATCACATAGAAGTATGAGAGAGGTGTAGGGACGGGTGGCAGAGTGGTTGCCTGGCATCCGTGAGGACCAGGGTTCAGTCCCCAGCCCCTCAGGAAGCCGAGTGTTATGGTTGACAGCACTCTTGAGGTGGAAACAGGGAATATCAGAAGTCCAAGGCTACATGGTGAGCTTAAGGACAGCTGTGGCTATGTGAGAACCTGGGTGAGTGTCCTGAGAGAGGGGGTTGGGGTGTTTCAACCTAGGAAGAGAATCACGGCAAGTCAGAGCCAAAGCTGGAGTGCACCAACCTCTGCTTATTCGCCCCACATACGCTCTAGTGTGTGCGCACCCGTAGCACTTTGCAGGCCCAGGGAACACTTGCTCACTCAGGAACCCTGCTGTGTCTCAACCTCAGTGTCACCCAGCCTGGAGGCCTTGTCTGTGGCTCCTGACTTGGGTGTCTGTCCTAGAGGCAGAAACTGAATTGACTGTGCATATTAGTGTCAGGACCAAGGCCACACACCCATGTGTCTCACTGTCCTTTTGAGTCCTCCCAGTACTGGAAGACATTATTATTTCCTTTTTTATTTTTTCCCTGGAGAGAAGGGAGCACCTTCTGCAAGACCACAGAAACTCAGTGAGTCTAAGGCAGTCAGAGCTCAGCACAGCTCTGTCACAGGATTGCAAGGGGAGGGGAACACCTCCTCACGTGTACACACACACACACACACACACACACACACACACACGCGCGCGCGCGCGCGCATGCACGCATGCACGCACACAAGCACATGTACACACTAAAATTTTTAGTGTAGTTTTGAAAAAAATACTTAAAGCCTTTTTTTTTTTTTAAATCTTGAAAAGACACTGCCCAAAGCAAGCAAGGACATAACACTCTACTAGCAGATAGAGGCCTGGTTTTATTTTAGGTCCTTGAATTATTCATAAGCCAAAAATTCCTGGTTTTAAGAATGCAGGCTAAAGTGTATGTAATGGTTAAATGCAGCGAGTAAATCTAGATCAGTTTTTTGTTTGGAAAAACACAAACCAAGGGGCCAACGAGATGGCTCAGCGGGAAGGAGCTCCTTCTCAGGGACCTACATGGTGGAAGGAGAGAATGGAATCCTGAAATTTGTCCTCTGACCTCTGACATACATCTACCCATGCCCCAAAATGTATTTAAAATGGAAACAACTACAAAATCAGGCTGTGTGGGGCGGTGTTCACCTGTGATTCTGGCCCTCGAAAGACTGGTGGTGTAAAAAGACCAAAAGTTCAAGACTAATGTAGGATGCTTAGTAAGTTTGGGACCAGCCTAAGGCTGTATTGAGACACAAGCCT